GGATGTGGTCTGTGCACACACCGGTATTTACCGAGCCGACTCATGGGTGTCATTATAAAACGATTTATAATAGTCGCGATCGCATGGAAAAATGTCTGGGAAAAGTAGTGCGCGACGCTCCGGCGGGCAACAATAAAAACAAGTGATGTTCGAATTTGTATGCAATCTGTGTTCATCAGACATACGTTTTAATTCATTACAATAATAATTGTAATAAAAATAAACGTTTGAGATTTAATAGATTACATTTAAGAATGGCATATGATTAAAAATATTAAGAGAATTTTCGAAACTAATTTGTTTAGTACATATTTAGTACAATTAGTTTTTAACATTACTATTAACTAGGATTAACACGACCAATTGCAAAATGAATAGTTGAATCCAAATATCAGTTTTGAACAAGATATCCTGTATATTACACAAAACTTCCAATTCCATACAAAATATACAATTTGATTAAACCATGTGTCACATTCGGTTAAAATGACACCTACAATGAAAAGTAACAGTTAGATATCATTTATTATCTACACCAATATTATAATCACTAAAGTATTCGTCTGTCTATTTGGTGGTTACCTTTTCACAACAAAATCAGCGAACGGATCATTACCGTAGAAATTACCCGTATCATGAGAACGGACATAGGCCATCTTGCATCTAAAAATTGGCAGATAAATCACGGGAAACGGCCAGTATTACATATACGGTTAGATTGTTAACTTTCACGTCTTTGAGGCTTACCTAATGACAATGAAATTTCGCATTTACGTAACATTCGGGATGCAGATGGACATAGATAGACCAGTACATCATCGTGGGCAGACAGATCGGTATATTCATATCTATCTCCACAGATATGATCTATACATATATCCCGATCAACCATGATAACGCGAAACAAGTCAAGGACAGAATCTAACCTACATATTTTTAACCTTAAATCTTTTACGGTCAAAAGAATAATCGCCAACCCTATAATGATCAGTGTAGGATATATCTGCGATAACGAACTACAGTAGGTATATTTATCTCGCTATACACTGTATAGGTAACTATTGCTTTGTGGATATGCCGAAGCGATCCGATCCTCTGTATGCGATATACGTGTTGCTATGTACGTACATATACACTCTGAAGAGCAGGTATATCACATAAGTATGCGAATTACCAAGAATTGTTTTTCTATACGCTCTCATTAATAATTTAATAATATTTTATATTACAAGTTACACTTTATAGTAACAACGTATTAGTTACGTTTAGTCTATTTTTTGTTCTTTAGTTAATTCTAAATATTATTGTTTATATTATTTATCTTTTTGAGACACAAAATTAATTTTTACATAGTATAAAATGAAATCGCTGAGATCTTTTAAACCACGCGACGAATTTTAAATCAGTTTTTAACAATAGATAGTGATTTATGAGGAAGCTTTATATGTATAATACATTTATACCCGTGCAAAGCCGGGCAGAGAAGCTAGTAAATGATAAATTGCACAAACGGAACTCTATTCATATGTTTATAGCTGTGATTAAAATTTAATTGTGCAAAAAATAAAAATAATAAAACGACTAAGACTGTTATTTTATACTTTATTTATTTGGCCCGTGACACATACTTCCATCAACTATCAGCGACAGATTTGAGGTTGTCGCACTATCTAGCAGAGAAAACACGCACTCTCCTACGCTACGTTACTTCCTTTTAGAAACAAAAAGAAACATCTTTTATTTAGGTCATTCATTGTATATTTGACCGAACTGTCGTTTTTAGAATTAAGAATACAAATTTCGGACTTGGCAATATTCGGCTAAGTGATTTTAGTATCTTTTTAGTTAGTTTTATTTAACTGTGTTAATAAATTTCCGTCATAATTATTTGATTGCAATGTTTTAATACCTACAATAGTCATATAGACAAAGTAAAAATGTATGCAAAAAGGGAATAATTCAAGCCAAACTGACGAGTATGTGGGACGGCGTTAAAAACGTTAAAAGTCAACGGTGTGCATAACTTTTAGAACTACATGTAGTTTCATGCGATTTTTGAAGTGTTATTGTTATTATATGATAACATATCGCTTTGAACGTTTATGCTGTATCTACGATAGCAAATTTCAAGGAAATTGAGTAATATACGTTGATAGTCCTCATACCTCGCTATAAATGATATGACGGATTTAAAAACCTATACATAATATAAACATCATGAACAATTTTACTCACATTCATTATCGTCTACATTTTACCATTTTAATTTTTAATCCATACTAATATTATTAATCAGAATATATTTCTGTCCATCGATTTGTTGTTTTCTCAACATCATCTCTTCACATCTAAACAGACTTTAATGAAAGATGACATGTAGGTAAAGTTATCATAAGGACAGACTATTTTTTTATGTCAAAGAAGGATCTAGAAGGGTCTGATACATGTGAAGATATATTGCTGTAGGCGAAGTCGCGGGTAACAGTTGTGCCAGAATAAATAGCACATGTTGTGGTAGTACAATGACACCGCGTTACACGAATCATAAATCTTAATTACATAAACCGCTCAGTTTAATAGGTCTCACACTGCGAGCGTAATATTAACGAACTGCTACATTTTAATCGGCGGGTTATATAAAAAGACTACACAAGAGTTAAGCTGTTGATATGCAAACTTTCATCCCCTGTTTCAATCTCTTTGAGATCACTTATCTAGATAAAAATAAGCCTATTTCCACGCTCGTGATACAATCTATCGTCACATCAATAGTCATTAAAATGTATTCAGTATAGTTATCAAAAGTTAATAAAACAGACACTTTTGAAGTTACACTATTTGTATGGCTTAACATAATCCAATTCATTATATTTGAATTCTGAAGTAATACCAAAGTTACCATTGTTACAGTATGAACTCTAGTAATATTAATGAAAACATTCCTACTTTCATTAATTCTGTTTGTTATTAACAATTCAAAATTTGCCTTTGTGATTTTATTAAACAAATGAATGAAACTTGCAAAAGAATTTGAGCAAGAGTAAAACCCAACTGTAAACAAATACAAAAGCTAAATAGGTAAATAATGAAAGGCACAACTTGCAAATGAAATCCATTCAAAGTTTTCAATTCAAACTTAGTTGAGCGAAAAGTCAGTACTAATTTAACTTTTCTGTGGTATGAACAATGTTTCTTCAATGTTCCAGTGTAAACATTGTTGTGCAAAATGTTTGTGTAAAATTACATTTTTTCTATCTTTCTTAAGTATTCCAATATTGTTATCATTGTAGTAGACAAAATGAGTCAAACCTCAATCACACTCTAATTCCTTTTTGTACTTGAACTTGTAATGCAATACAGTAAATAACATTTGTAGTTACAATTAAATTAAAATTCTTACTTATCCTCCTCACAGAAAAAAACAAACATTTACATACACTATTATGTACATATATATATAAATATGTATAAACATACAACAATGAACAACAGAAAGATACAACAATGGGTGGCCTATTAGCTTAAAAGTGATTACTTCCAGTTCCTTCTATGATACAATATATACACAACTTTCTGAGTTCAAAAATAATGTGTAATAATTTAAATTTACAACATAATATAAAATGTATTAAGAATGGTATGATTCATTTGTAACACAATAAATGAATAAAACAATGTATTATGATTAAATAATCAATAGGTTTATTCAAATAAACCCAGACTGAATTTAATTACTTCATGAATAAACTAAATGTTATCAGTGAACCTACACATAAGACAAGTGGGGAAACCACACAATAACAGATAAAGACAAAAAAAAACTATCCGAGTTACTTCTGAACTCTTTGATTACTAAAGGTTTTAAAAAGCAATTAATTGACACCTAATTCTCAACTATACTAAAATACTCATCAATCTTATCTCCCTAAATAAAAAATAAGTGAATGTAAAATTATTTGTTATTCATTCTAAAGTTCTTTTAAGTCTTAATTAGCAATATTTTCCTTTTCTTGTGTCTAGAAAAATAAATTTCTCAAGTTTTACAATAGAAGTTCAATAAAGAAACAATTACAGAAGTTCACTAGAACATATATTTAAATTTACAATACAGTGTATGTAAATATTAATTTGCAGATATACTAAACTAATATACAATCAAACAATTCTACTAAGTAAATATAAGAGTTTTCTCTACAAGACTTTACTAACACCATCATCACTGTAACAATCCACTATTTATTCACTGCAAGGAAATTATTTTCCCATAAGAAAATATATTGGCTATGCTACTAATCTGCATATTTGTAAAATTAAAATACTAGCCATTATAAAGCATAAAATATTATAGCATTATTTAGAATTAAGTAGATTTTTTACACAAATTCATTACATAAACCTTTTCTATTGGATAATAAGTAGACATATTCCTGAATTAACGTTAAATGTTGATGATTTAGATATTAAAATAATTACCTAGTCGACTATTAATTAATATTAGTGTAACAATAATATATGGTTAATAATTCGTTAGAGGTTATAAGATTTTGTATACCTTTTAAAAAGTTCAAAAAGCACTTTTTAACCACAAAAGCAGAATTGCAAAATATATCACATACAAATTCACAACTTTAATTTACTTTATTTATCTTATAATCACAAAACTGCGTCACAATCAGATAATCCCAAATTTTTGGAAATAGGTCAAAGGCTGTCTATCTTAGGGTATAATTATATGGAACGAACTTCTAGAAAGTGGGATCACGACCAACACGTTTCTTACGAAGCCAAGTTGTGACGCGTCGGCGTCGGTGCCGCGAGAATGTCGCCCGTCAGCCATCACATCACAGCACCGCGCCGCGCCGCTACATGCTACCGCTATGACGCTATCACAAACTAGCAAATTACTACTCGAGTGTATCAAAAACAGCATTCAAAATATCAATCAACCTATTAATACTCTTAAAACACTAACTACAATAGTAAATACAGAAGAAACTCACCGTAAATAGGCTGAATCCAACAACAAAGAATCTCCAGCCACGCGCTCCAATTAAAGGGCACACACAAATCACGAAAACACAGGTTATGCTGCAAATTAATTACACAAAGCAGTTTATTTTGTCCACAGTCAATATGTAATGGGAATTATATACGTAGTTAATAGTTTTTCGGTGTATCAATCACAAATCCAAGAAAGTATAGCGAGAAGGACCGCCAGCAACGTACAAAATGGCGGATTTGCGTAACGAAAGTGACGCGCTGACGCGCCGACAAAACCATGGACAAAAATCTTTCGTCTATGCTTCCATTCGGATGCATTCGCTTTACCTAAATTAACTGTTATTTTAATTTTAAAATTGTTTACCCACGTACAAATTATTCAAATTAGAAGATACTTATAAAACTGTTTAGTAATACGCTTTCTTAACAAAATTCATCACAAAATTATTCAAACAAAAACTAATATACGCAATGTTTGCTTAATAATAATGCTTTCTCTAATAAATAGTATTATAGCTATTCTTCATTAATATTATTAAATTACTAAATAATAGAGATATATTTTAGTTATTTAGAAACATTAAAATTATTACCGTGTACGTTTTTACTTCCATTATACATGTTAATTGAATATTTAGAATTGTCTATGATGAAATAATTATTTTCTGCGCAGTGATTATTTACTACAAATATTTTTTGTCTGTGGTAATCTTATAGAGTAAAAATTAACGAATCGAAGGTTTGCAATTTCTAATTTAATACATAATAAAATAAATTATATTAATTTATCTCAAATTGTTCCATAAAATTTAGTGTAACAGAATTTCAATATGTGGCCGTGAAATTCAGAGCGATATTCACCTCAATCTTTTTGCATTTGTTAGTAATATTTTGATGTCTTGACGAATACAAATGGCGTGCAATCAGCTGAGTTTTGTTTTCATTTGAAGAATTTACTGAAATTTTCAGGTGATCGCTTTTGGAGGACGATATAGGATTTCAGTTATAATCTAAACATGAACGAGCTGAAGTCGCTTGAGCACGCTACTTTGAAGGTACGTAGATGACAATCGTTGTCTTCATATTTTTTCAATACTGCCTTTGTTAGAACATCAGTTCCGAGGGTAATATGCAAAATTGCTAACGTTACGCTTATTGTTTCCTATTGTCTTATTGAAAATAGGATAATAATACAAAAAAAAATTGTATATATGACTGAAAATGTAATATAATAAATAATGATATGTAAGTATCTTCTAATTTGAATAAGTATTACTACTATACTGGTACTGCTATTTTCACAATTGTAACACCCACTTACTTTATTATATTTAGAGAAAATAGAAATGCTCATTTTTTTAAAATAAACAATTGTTTATACCTGAATTAGACATTAATAAGCAGTATAAGTACTATAATGACAATATTGCAACAAATATGTTATTAAATTACAAAAGACTTGTTCATTATGTTATTCTGCTCCTAATCATATGGGATTTGAAATCTTATCTCAAGTATCTATTTGCCACAAAACTTTTATGTTAAGAATATAAAGGTTTGTGTAAAATGTAATTTTTGGCCATAAATTAATTTTGTTTCTTGAAAGCTAATATGATTACTTTAATTATATTTTTCCCTAAAATATGTACTTTATTTTAATGTTAGTTGCTATCTGTTTGAAATTTAACTTTTATTCACTCTTTGATAATATTGCTTTCTGTAGTTGAAAGAATCATTGATCAAATATGTTATTAGTTTATTATTACAAAAACTATACCAAAAGAAAATAAAATACTTTTCTTTTTTTATTAATATTATTTAAATATTATTAATTTCTCATCCAACTTTATGGATCTTATTGTCACATATTGCACAACCTCAACCATTTATTCTTAAGAGTTCTTATAAGTTTAGCTACAATTAAAGGATATAATAATGATATAATAATTCATTTAAACTTTAGATATTATTTCAAGTTGAGGTAAAAGTAGAATATAACAAGTTAAGTTTTTATTATACTTATATATATATAAGTGTTTGACCCAAATTTTCAAATACACCTGAACACACAGATGGGCATAGACAATGAGAATTAACACAAGCACTACAATGTCTTTACCAATAGTTTTCACTTCATGTGAACTTCATTTGTCAGTTAACATCAAGCTAGATTGGTAACACATTCAGATAGTAATTAATCTTAAATAGTTATTAATCCATACTAATATTTTAAAGTGTTGGAAACTGTCTTTTTTTCCCTTTTTACGACTAAATTGTTGAATGGATTTTAATGGAATTTAATGTGTTAATATATTGTTTCATGAGGAGGAGCATACGCATATATATATCATACATATAAAAGCAGAGGAAAATGTGTGTTTTAGCTAGCTTATAATATATATGCAACATTATATTAAACTTAGTTTGCCAGACTTGGTCACATATTGCTGTAGCTCTGTAGTTGTAACATTGGGGACAATAAAAGATATCCTATCTATTAAGCTGTAGCAATTTACTCAGATGTAAGTCTTTTTAAAATTTATCGCAGACAATCATAACACAAGATATAAATCTTACATATAAAAAATCCTGTATAGTAATATTCTCTGGTATTCCTTTGTTATTATATATTTTGGTGACAGAGTTATGAATATATGACATTGTGTTATTTAAATTGTGTGTTGTGATGCAACTAGCATCAAACACAACTCGTAATTTATCTCTGGTACTAGCCTCACAGAATGCCCTGTGGCATGGAAGTAACTAATGTTGCCAACTTTACTTTTTAACCTTTGACCTAGTTTGTGATATTCCCGCGTAATGTACATTATGTAAATTCAATTTTTATGCAATGAACACAGTATAAAAAAAAAATTGATATAGGTTCCATATGAGGTGTTCAACAAACGCTACCGTAACGCTCAACGCGTCCTCGACGTAGAAGCGAGGCAGGTGGGCAGCGCTGGTTGCGAGCTTGAAGGCGCCACCAAGAAACAGGCAACTACTGGAGAAATAGATACATTGCTAGGTGGAATGGTAATATTTTAACTAAAATTTAAATGTAAGCCTATGTCACAGTCTTATCCATTTCAGCCTACAAGAGGAATACTGTAAAAAGCTGTTGTTGTGGGTATTTCAGGCCCTTCTTTTTCAGCCACTAAGAAGCTTGATTTGAGTGAAAATAAAAGAGGCATGACATCTTATTGGGCATTCATAATTGCTCTGATGAGAAATGTAATAGTTTTTAAATAATGTTAAATTTTACATGCCTAATGAGGCAGAACATAATGGCATATTCTACAATGCCAACCAATGTTAGACCTCTGGAATGGGAGACGGATGACAATGCTGTATATATGTATGGATTTGTGTTCAATGGAGGCTCATTATTTCTGTTGTCAAAGACAGACGGATGACAAGTAAATTATGTTTGTGTTCAATGCATTCGAAAATTAAGATATCGGTATCGAAAAATAAGATATCACAACAAAAAGCCACAATAATTAACAGCACAAATTGTATGTTAATATGTGTATTGCAAAAATGTTGGCCTGAGTTGGCGGGGGAATATTAGGGAGGCACGATTTTTTAGTTTTAGCCCCGCCTCGTAGAAATAGAGATCAGCGCAAAACGGGGCAGCTTCACCAATTTATCTAGTAGTACGAGATATATCTGAGAGGAATGTAGTAAAATAGAATTGATCATAATTAACGAGATATCATCTATTTCTAAAAAATATGGCATACATAAATAAATTCTTTTGGTTTACCAGGTGGAGAAACTAACGACAATGAAGCGAAAGGCTTCTGAGGCTATCAATGAGGAACTGCAGGCGGCCATGGTATGCAAGAAACGTCTGGAACATTTGAAGGAACAAGCGCACGCCATCACTGAACCCAGCACTCCTCAAGTTAGAGTATGATATTTTATTTTGTCTAATTTAATTTCAACCGATTTTAAAACTGAAGGCGAAGAATGAGGTATGTAGACATTATAGCGTTTAACGAAGCCAAAACATTGAATATTTATACATGAGTAGTTCATAACTATAATTTATATGCAAAAACAAAACGAAACTGATGTCATATTTTTTTGGGTTCATTAATATTATTTTAAAAATTACTGATCTGATAAGCATGAAATTGTAACAATTTCTTGCTTATCAGATCAGTAATTTACGCATCTATAGCGACGACTAAAACATACTGAACATTTTGAAAATTTCAGACTTCCTTGAACCAGTGGCGTAAAGTGCGCCTGGATCGAATGCTCGTGGACTATTTCCTAAGGAATGGGTACTACGATTCGGCAAATAAGCTGGCAGACGCTAGGTCCTTGAGGGACCTCACCAATGTTGGTAAGAGAAAAAGTTAGATTTTTGAGAGTAATCATATTGAAAAGCATATTGAAACCATGATGTTAAGTAACTCACAAAGAGAATTTCTGATATTTTATTTAATAAAATACCAAGTTAAGCAGAGCTTGTTATAAGTACGTGGGGGGACTTGACGGGGGGGGGGGGGTCAAAGGGCGACGAGGATGTGTGGTACCCACAAAAAAATCCCACGGAGTACCTACGACAGCTACCGAAACTGCGGCGGTGTTGAACCACCCTGTAGATGGATGTAGTTGTTGGGGCGTCCTATTTTGCCCTACTCTATACACGTATCGATACACGCGTACGCCTCCGAAGCCATTTCGTTGGGGCGCTTCCTCAAGGCGAGCACCTTGGTCCCAACTGGGGATAGGGGTGGGGCGGAATTGGGTACGCCCCTAGCTCTAGGCCGTACTCTTCTGCGACGGATTAGTGCATCGGTGAGACTCCCTCTATGCCGCCACCTTCTTCGAGAAAGTTAACTCTCTATGGGTTAACCCTTAGCGAACTAGCACTATGGTCATATAACTATTATAACATCTATTTGCAGATATATATGCAGCTGCAGCGGAAGTGGAAGCAGAATTACAACAGCAGCGCACCGCACGCTGCCTGCAGTGGTGTGCCGACAATAAGTCCAAATTGAGGAAACTCGGTTCAAATATGGAGTTCAAGATACGGATACAGGTAAACTGAGTAAATATACACTGTGTTTTAAGAGTACTTACGCAAGTAACTATTTATTTACTACTGTACACTTTGCTATTTGGCAGCATTCACACAAAAAACTTAAAAATGTTTTTCTGAACATTTGTTTAAAAGAGCAACATGCAAACTTCTTAAATACTCTTCTATAATTCAGTAGCATCAAAAACATATTATGACTAATCAAAAGTTCTTATATTTACACTGCCCTATGAAAATGAATACTTAAATTAAATTTTCAACACTATAGATGTTTTTTTTACGATGGTATACCGTTGGTATTCATATATACTGGCGGAGCACAAATGGAGGATGGTTATAAAGGGCGCGAGGTCAGGTCAGTTAACTAACCATGGCAAATTATCCAAGACTTCAGAACACTGGTTGTCAGGAGGAACCGCGTGACTATTAAGCTGACAGTACATTGGTAGCAATTTAAAGGGGTTATTACTTTATATTACTAACAATCCCCTTCATATCAATTTAACTATGGGGTAATTTACGTATATGAATTATAGGGAGGTGTATGTTGTTTAATAAATGAATCATTATTAGGTAAATACCATAATACAATTCTAATTGGTGATGGAGAAAATATTTATAGCGTTGTATACTGTCTTCAGGAGTTCATTGAGTTGGTCCGAGAAGAGAAACGTCTGGAGGCTGTCCGCTACGCAAAGAAACACTTCTCCACTTATGAAGAGGGACAACTGCAGGACATACAGCACTGCATGGGCATGCTCGCCTTCCCTAAGGATACAGGTATGTTATTGGATGATGATGCAAATTACTACTAGCAATGTACATTAATGGGGCACCAGTAGAGATGATGAGATGAATGGGAAGTCAGATATACGGTCCACCTGATGGTAAGTAATAATAATTATTATTTATTTCCTCAAAAATACAGTGCAAAAGACAGACAGATGATACTATTTTTAATTATCAATTTAAACAGTATCATCTCTTGCCATAGCAATGGCATGCAAAATATTACAGTTTAAAAATTATACATAAATAATCTATACAGAGAGAAAATAATAATAGTAAAATGGGATCACTCTAGTCGATAATTATATATTGTTAAAAAAATCCTTCAAATAGTAGTAGTATCAGTCTGATATACATGAACGGCGCTACAAAGAGCATTATGAAGTTATTAATAGGGGCACCAAGGGAGTTCAAGGGATGAGCCTGAAGTCAGATTCGTGGTCCGCCTGATGGTAAGTATCCATCACTAATATATATTAGTAATGGATACTATCACCATCGTATATATGAACGGCGCTACGGAGATCATATTATAAAGTGACGCCCGTGATATCGCTCATGTGTTTTCCTTGCATTGTGTTGATGAAGATATCATACCTATAATGTCATTGCCATTTCTCAACCTACAATTGGAAGATGGCCAGATTGGAAGTTCTTTCTTTCCAAATATTTCCTGTGAAGAATAAAGACTTATATTATTATTATATTTAAGTTGTGTTAATTTTGTAGAGGTGGAGCCGTACCGGTCGTTGCTGTCGGGACGTCGCTGGGAGGCTTTAGTGCGTCAGTTCCGGTGGGAGCACGCGCGCCTACTGCACCCGCAGCGACTGCCGGCATTGCCTGTAGCTCTGCAGCTCGGCCTCGCCGCACTCAACACGCCGCAATGTTACAATGAGGCCACCAAGGTACGACTGGACCTATTGATGTTCTATGTGATACAGCTGTGGGTGTTTAGTTAAGTTTACTAAAGAACTTAAAAACTTAATAAATTTAAGTTTAAAATAAATCTTGTATATAAAACGTGTCACAAAGTTAGTTACATACTCCTCTCATACGGTTTGACCAATTTTTATGAAATTTTATATACATATTCAGTAGGTCTGGGAATCGGCTAATATCTATTTTTCAAGCCCCTAAGTGGTTTTGGAGGTTTAACCATCACTTTTCTTTTATTTTTGGACAATAATTTTTTATTATGTGGTATTAAAAAATACATACAGCCCTATATTTGTGCCCTTCTACCATCGACCTCTATTTTTTAATAGCCATAGCGATATTAAATTATATGCCAAGACAAGGTTTGCCGGGACAACTAGTAGGTATATAATATAATGCAGGTGTCGGCGTGTCCGGCGTGCCAGCCTCCTCTGGACGCGCTGGCGCGGGAGCTGCCGCACGCGCACTGCAGCCACTCGCGGCTCGTGTGCCGCATCACCGGCCTGCCGCTCAACGAGCACAACCAGCCCATGGTGTTGCCCAACGGACAGGTCTACGGAGAGAAGGTACTCTTACACTTTGACAAACACTGTCCTTTTTTTTTAATTGGCATTTTCGGCTACTGTCAGGTGCTAAGACTGTAACACTGCGACCTGTATAGATCTATTGTGCTCATCCTTATTCAAAGTTCGCTAAAGGAGAATTGAAGCATATTCTTAGGAGCGATGGGTTTTATCTCCTCAGGATATAGTCTATACTTTCCAAAGGATATTTCGTTTATGGATGAGAGGGCTACAACCACATAGGATGTGTAGTGACGTTTCCTCTTCTGCTTGGCAAAATCTGCAGATTGATGTTAAGCTAAGGCCTAATTACGCCATGTGCTTATTCAGCTTGCAGCTTATTTAACTTGAAATAAACTTTAAGTAGAATTCATTTCTAGACAGTAAAATCATGTACTTATAATCTAAAACGGTATAACAGTGTTCAAATTTATCTTTACAGGCTATAAAAGAAATGGTGAAACTAGGATCCATTGTCTGTCCGAAAACGAAAGAAGTATTCTCAATGAAGAGTATCGAGAAAGTATATGTTATGTAAATCATATTTGTATATAAATTCGTTTATTGTAGTTACTAAGTCACCAACTATTGTTCCAGTTATGAAACGACATATTTTTGATGTAATTCTTTATATAATTTTCATTCCGTGATCATTGATAGCGTAATGTGATAAAAAAGAACAAAAATATTGCGTGCATTGGAACGCGTATTAAAGAAAATCAGTAAACGAACATGTCTTGTGAATGTTGTATTGTAATTATGATATTAAAACTTGTATTGAAAGTGCTTAGAAGTGTTTGATTAATGTTCTAAAGTTTAAAATCAATTGTGTTTTGTTCTGTTGCTTTGGAATCTCGTAAACTTACATTTATTACTTACTTTTTCAAAGTGTTACAATAGTGCCATTCTTTTCACAAATCGATTTGTAATGCACCGCCCACATGAATCTCTGTTTGTCCTGACTTTGGTTGACTGAGAGAAAATGCCTCTAGGTGGACTTAACGTCCGCCATGTGCACCTTTATTTGTGTATTTGTGCATTAAAGTTTTTAAAAATAGATTTATTTGGTATCAAAAGGCACTTTTACAGATTCTATCAGCAGCTATTTGTATTATAGATTCTATTAAAAATTACACAAACATTTTTAGACAACACAGAATCTTATTTATGAAACGCCAGATTTATTTCTTAATGTGTATCAAAAGCCGCTAAAATGTTATTAAATTTTTAATCACTCGAAAGAAGCAAAATGAAAATCTTATGGTAGATTTGAATTACCAAAAAAATGTTGGTAGGTAAGTACTTTCCACCTAATTTTTATTTAAATTTTGTTATTCTTTTGTTGAGGCAATCTATGCAATTTTCTCTAATCATCACAGTGTCTTTTTGTTATTCCAAATTTTCGACATTTGCTATTGCTATTAGACATTTTTAATTCATAGAATTGAACGTCCATTTTTTCAATTATACTCTGACCGTTATACTGTAACTGTTATATAATGTTTGATCATGTAACTTTTATCCCTTAGCGTCCAGAACTCAAGTTTTGAAGAATTTTATAGTTTTTTATGCAAATCTTTTATAACATGATAGTTAATCTAAGGCACTTTACATTTATTTTAAAAGCCAGTACACCAATATGCTTTATAATTCAATGACTGTGGTAGACAAAATATCGTTTTATTTTTAAGGACTTACGGTATTCATAAGAGATCATGTGATATGTCATGTTATAGACCAGCAAGGCAGTTTTAGATACAGTAAGATTTTTTATTTATAAAGAATTACGAAATTTTTTTCAACACACTTGCTCGTAAAGTTTATATAATTTCACCTCTTTTTTATATTTAAACACGCGTACGTTATAAAGTTGACGAGTGAAGTTTATTTCATAAAACAGCCAATCAGTAGTCAGGGCGATAATTTAAAAAAGTAAAACCGCGGGAACGTAGTTGTGCATCGCAGTTCAAAATGAACAAAATATAATATCATTATTTTTATTCTGTTTCCTCGCAAGTATGTTGAAAAACATCGTACGGTATACGTGCTCATTTAACACACTAGACTCTATTACACCCTTGGCTTCTCTGGCTGGAATTCCGCCTCGTGTATTATAACAGATCAAAACGCACTTTTATCGTAATAAATGCCACATAGTGTGCATGCTTTACGTAATTTAATATTTATGTTATGTATCCTTTGCTCTGGTCTGCTTCACAGGATTAAAAATTATTTATTAAATAAACATCTTAATATTGTGAGAATTGCACTATTTTCGTACGTTGTCAAGTTTATTGTCTTCTGTATTATAGTTTTAAAATATTCTCATTGTGTCATAATTATATTTTCTTGTGCATTGAGAATTGGAAAATAAAATAAATTAATAAGTGAATTTCTTTTATTGCACTTAGTAGTGTGTGTGTACATAAACATAGATAATTCCTTATTGTATAGTATTATAAAATCCGATATTTGTAAATAAGAGCTATTATATGTTTTTATTTAACAACAGAAGTGAAAACAGTAATTTTTAGTATATACCCACTTGTTCAGTGCTAAGCAAAGGTGGAGCGCTAGTTGTATAAAATTCAAATTAAAATAACAAAAAAATGCAATTATTCTCTCAAATATTTTAATGATTTTAACACTTTTCTCTTAAAATATATTTTTTTACAATGTCGTGAAATAATTAACGACTTAGAATACTCATGAATGGCATATTATATCACAATATATTATTTATAATCTCTACACACATGTTGCTTAGCAAATATAAATCTAAGGATTCAAAGTTTATTCAATACCGTCATATATATAAACAATATGTTATTATTATATATTTTGACGCATTAATTCTGGATGTTCTATAGCTTTTAATAAATATCTTATAAACATGCCTCATTTAAATTGAATGAAATAAAGGATTTGCTAAGCAACTTACATCTAATATTTTATGTATGTGTATACTAAAATGAAATGCATAAATGTTGTACAAACGAAAAAAAAATTGAATATAATAATAATATGTAACAACTGACTAACATTGTAAAATATACATTTACATAATATTTACAGGGAAATATTACGAAACACTATCATATCGTAGTGGAGTTTGTACTATCAACATATACATCTTATATAAATTGGAAATGTTAAAGTTTGAATCAACATGGATTGACGTTTACTCAATAGATATTTTATTAAATATTGTACAATATTGGTGCGGATGTCCAAGAATCTACCAATTTTTGGTACCCATATAGGATGGCGTTAAAAACAAAAAACACTCAACAAATACAAACAATCCTGAATACAAATGTTTGTATGTATGGAGTTACGTTATATTAATGTATGGAGTATGTAGACGGTTTATGTGAAGTCTATGATGAACATGAAATGTAGGTAGAAACAGGATAGTAAAAGTGCTATTTTTTATGTATCATAATGGAATGGCGCAACCTGCTGCACTAACTGCGGTTTAGGCTGGCAGAGCACCAGCGTGCTGGTATAAGCTGGCGAGGCACCAGTGGCGGATGATAAGATGAATATGAGGCCAGGCCAATCAGTCCAACGTGACAAATTCACCGGGAATTTATCATGATTGTTTCCAGAATTAGTCCACATTTATTTAATTATAAATGGGTTATATAACGGTTTACACAAAACCGTTAGATAAAGCGGATGCACCTTTCCATTTGTACCTTTACAAAAAACAATTCATGCGTAAAAATTAAATTTGCGGACACCTACAATAATATCGCACGGTAAATTATAACAGCACCAAATCACAATCATTCCAGTAAATATGAAAATAACTCGATATCATCAACCATCAGTTCACTGCTGGACATAGGCCTCTTCCAAGGCACGCCACTGGGCACGATCTTCAGCCATTCTCATCCAGTTACTACCCGCATATATGATATCCATAAAAATATTATCTCTTTTTGACAATATATTAGTAAATATTTAACATTTCGGCGACCTATCTACGAGTATGACTAATTTCTTACACTACCATATATTTCGAGTTTTGTACAGGATTTTGGTAATATTTTTTTTACATTTAATTAGTGGATATTTTTACTCTTACATCTAAATAAAATATCAGTTATAAAACATGATACATATGTAAAATTGACGTGTTCATGTTTTGTCGTTGATTTTTTATATCACCTGTTTACAAATAAAGCTACTAAAAACATTAAAAAATCGCTTCATAAACTGTATTACTGGAACATACTCCGAATTCATCTCTTAATTGAAGTGTTCTATGTATTTAATAGTTTAGTATATATGTCAATATAATAGTGTATAACAAAAAGAATACCACAGCGCCATAACCCCAAACTAAGCAGAAACTTTACTATTTATACTAATCGACTTCTACATTTTTTTGTAAGTACATAGAAAACACCCAGACTAATTCAAATACATGAATAACACTTGTACAGTGCGAGAAACGAATCTGCGACAATAGAAATGTAAGGAAACGTGTTAAACCGTTACCCCCACGATGGTCGTATGAATTTATCGTAAACAAGTAACTATTTTCACACTAAACAGGCGATATATTGCTCTATTTCATTACAAATAAATATAATAAATGAATTTTATTGATCTAACAATTATTAATATTAATAACAGTACTGGGTTTGTGGTAGTACACGTCAGACTGAGTTAGTGGAGATATTTCAAATGACACTAATGTACATGATTATTATTTAAACAGCCTCAAATAAAATAATATCTTAAATTATAATATATTAAAGTTCATTATATAAAATTAACAAGTTCAATAATCATATAAATATTTTATATGGCTATTGGACACTGAATTACATAAACGTGTTATTTATAATTTTTACGTATATCTGAACATACCCACACACTACGTGGCCCTCTTTGTTTTTACAACTTTCAATCCATTCCCTCCCCCTGCTTATCGCCCTTTTTCCGAGGACTACTCGTATTATACTTATTTAAAATCAATAGAAAGTTACAAAAATAGTTATTGTCTTATATTAATTATACTTATTTATTTCAAGAAGGATTTCATTTGACGCACACGTCTCTCCTGGTGTTTTAGGCATCCTTGGGCTACGATATCCGTTTACCTGATAAGCCAGCTAGCTAGCCTCATAGGCTGAATGCTACCACAATTGTGGTATAAAAAAGAAACAAACAATTGCAAAATTTTACAAAGCGTGATATTTTGAAGACTACTCTGAACGGATCACGTAGTATGGGTACGTTTTCTAATTCAAAGTTGTGATGTAAACAAGTAAATTTACTGTATATTTTATAATTAAGTTAATTACGCACCTAGCATGCATTGTTACATCTTAATTATATACAACAAATGTTTGTTAGTTTGTTGAGCATTGCTCTATTATACTTAGCAATAGAAAAGTACGCAAGGTACCTTTTATATTCGTATTTCATATCTAAACGTACACAGTCTAATATTCGAATTAATAATACTAATACTTTGTATTTAAATTACTATTGTTTAATTGCTAATGCCGTGTTCAACTTGTCGAAATGTTCAAATAGCAAATAGATGGAATTTCAGGTTGAATCCCAAATATTATAAAGTATAATTTGTTCGTTGTTATATTATTATTCCTTTTACGACTTCTTAGAGTATGTAATATATGTACAAGAGTTGTTGTTCAATCATTACATAGTATAAGTCGCTGTCGCTGTCTGTTTGTCCCTATGTATGCTTAAATCTTTAAAACTACGCAACGGATTTTGAAGCGGTTTTTTTATATAAATTTAATATATATATTACAGAATATACAAATATTAGAATATATATATAATATTATATTAACCTTCATCTATATGCGCTTTGAACATTTTTGACACTAGACAACTACAACATTAGCAAAGAAAATGTTTTTTATGGTGCTATGTTAGAAATTTTAAATATCAAAACTCTATTATCAACCTGCTTGTAAAAAGCGAGAAAAGAACTGTTATTTTTAATTGAAGCACCATTTTCATTAATCAGTATGAAGAACAATTATTTATATATTTTTCTTTAATTTTCTGGGATACAAATATAAATCCTCATTCTGAAATGTCATTCGTGATAATACATTCGTTGATAGACATTTCAAAATCAGTCTCGTTGTATACCAATGTATACATCACCCGTATAAGTTCTGTACACTAGAATATCTATATTATATTAATATACAATAATATTTTGTGATATTTTTTTATAAACAAAATTATTTATAGACAACGAACATGTTGAAATATGGCTTAGTCTAAATCGCACCAGATTATAAGGGTGAGTTCACACGCATTACTTATTTAGAAAGATCCATCTGTCACCACATTGTTTTAGTAAGACCTCAATAAATAATTTTATATATAGACTATTTAACATTTTAATGTCTTTTGTATTACAAAAATTGTATACTACCTAAAAAACAAATGTATATAATAATTATTTAATTTCATTCGTTTGTTGATTATTATTAACGTTTCAAAATCCAGCCTGTCACCACCAACAAAAAAATACTTTTCACTTTAAATGAAATACTGTAAAAATATACGTATTTAATAATAATAAAATATTTATGAGAATGACTGTAAATTTGTAAATATGATGTCAATAAAAATAACTATTATTATACCGTGTGAACCCAACATAAGGCCTCTGTAGACGAGAGAAACATTTTTAAGCTCAAAATAATACATTATTTACATGTAACTTTATAGCACGCAATTCAATGTACTATTGTGAGGTTAGAATTCTTTTTGACAGTATTTCATTAAACCTGAATTAGCTTTAAATAAATTCAAAACCTCTCTTGAATAATATTTATAGAGCAAAATTTATTACACGCTAAACAAGTACTTGAATGACAAACGTGCATGGCAATAGTTGTTCATGCACGGGATTTTCATTTAATGTTGTACATAGAAACCTATATAAGAGTACAATGTAAATATACTTTATTTACAATTGCTATTAAAAAAGAAATTCAGTTACAATTGCTATTAAAAAAGTCTCAATTGGAATCTGTATACTGACGGTAGGGAAAATTAATAATAAAAAAAAATACGTTCATAAGCGGCTGCAATGTCCTACATGAATAAATAATTTTTGATTTGATTTAACATGACGTCACGGAATTGAATATATATTCTGTGGAAAGTCTCGTCTGCAGAGGCCAAAACAGTCTCGTATAGGGGGCGTAGTTGTAGTATGGTGCGGCGCTTACCCGCAGTAGTACGTCATAGCGGCCATGAGTGCAACACCTGTGAACAGTGCCGCGAGATGTCGCAACGACTGCCAGCGATCGTTCTCCCGCTGCAGTTCAGGGAGCACCGTCACCAGCGCGATGTGTAAGAAACCGCCGGCCGTGAACGGTGCTATCCAGGACGTCTTCGCTTCTGTGGGTCATGGAGAAGGAATAATAAGAATATGTTTACCCTTAAAACAAACATTTGCGCGTGATTTCCGTGGTTCATGGAATCATTTTCCATTAGATTGGGATTAATTCTTTTTTCTGCAGAAAAAAAAATTACCTATGGCATTGTTGGCTCCACTGCAAATAACTGCCGTCATTGCTCCGATCAAACCCGCAGATGCCGTTGCCTGAAATATAATAGAAACAGGAATACAGTACAGCTGCCTACCTCGTTGGATATCAGGCGTGAAGATGGGTAAAATATGAACATTATTCTGTAATTATATTTATATAATCATGTATGCATCAGTTGACCCAACATTAAACATTTTAAATGTAACAAAAGTATGTATAACTTGCATTAATAAAAGATGTCACAATCACGAAAACTAGTTGGAAATTAGCAATAACTTAAATTTATCAATTTAAAACTTCAAAATTAGCGAAATTATTCATCAGTATACTTCATAAAAGAAGTACATATCGTACTGATAACACCTTTTTTGAGTCCGTTGGTCAAAATAATAGAAATAATTTAATGTTAACGTACCAGCTGCGCTTTGGCGGCCTCCCACCGCGAGAATCCACTTTTCAGAAGTATTGCAAAATCTCCCACCTCATGAGGTATTTCATGCACTGTAATTAAATAATAGTTTCTTACTGCCTTATTTAAGGAACATGGTATAAAACATAATATATAATATTCTAATGTCATAGTTTGTAACAAAACTGCTTTGACTGATGTTAAAAATAGAAAATATTAGATTAAATTATTAAAATATATTACAACTATATATAGAACAGCTATATAACTAACTAGCTGACCCGCGCAACTTCGTCTGCCTCACACTTACATGACGTTTATTAAAAAGTGTCATTCTGATGTATAAGCTATATTACACTACAGTTTCATCAAAATCCGTTCAGTAATTTTTGCGTGAAAAAGTACCAAACATCCATTCATACTCACCAACTTTTGCGTTTATAATATTGTGCCTACACTTGTAATATTTCTGTCGACACTTGAGACCCGTCCATTAGTTTACGTCTCCACTAACATAGATTTAAGTTAAGTATAAAATCAGTCTACGTCCCGACTCCGCGTCGACTGTACGCGTTATTAATAAGCCATTTAGCACATTACCAATAAAGTTAATAATGTCTAATAAATAGTACAATCATTTTACCGGTACACTCGCTACCTACATACTACAATAAATAATATATTATGTAGCGCCACCTCATCACAACATATATAACGCTACAGTGATGAGAATAACCACCGCGCTACAATATTAATAAGATTAAGATATATAATTTGCTTCTCTTACCGAGTATAGCGAAAGTGGTAAGGAGGCCGACTCTGAATCCAACGAGGAAGGATCCGCCGACGGCCAGGCCGTGCGTGAAGTTGTCTATGGAATTCGCCATTAAGTTTAAGTAGCCAGCCACCTGAAACGGAATTGTCAGTCAATAGTTATCCTATATTGAGATCTTTATTTGGTCTTTTTTATATCACTATGATGGTGGCAAATAAGCATACGGCCGATCTGATGGTAAACGCGTAGCCACGACACTTGAGAAATGAAAACTGGAATAAAAAGTTATAGCCTATGTTAAAGGCTACATTGCAGCAGTGATTTTTGCTAATTGCGTTGAACGAACACTATAATTTGTATACCTGAGAATGTATTCACTTTTTATTTCTGCTTCTAATTGTTACACAGTTAATCACTCTTCCATCTTTAATTATTGTAAAAATAAATAGGAGATTTAAAGAAAAAGTGTATTATAAACAGTGCATCATTAAGCAGAGCTTCTGTTATGGCTACTAAAGAACTGATACAAATACATAAATACATTTTTTTTGTTAATACATACAAAAAATAGGAAACACCCTGACTAATACAAACAATCAAACTCATGAATACAAAATCTTTATACATATGTATACGACCCCGCGACCATCGGAAGTAAGACGATGTGCTAAACCGCTAGACCACCAAGGCCGAAGCTGTCAAAATCAGTTGGAGACAAAACAAATGTACACATGTGCCACTAACCTGTTTCTTCCCGGTCTTCTCCTTGGTGGCGTGGAGCGCCTTGTCCCTCGCCTCTCGCAATAGACAGCGTCCCATCCAGCGGCTGCCCGGACCTCCGCCTCCGCCTAGGGCTCCGCTGGCGCCGCGTGCTCCGCTTCCAGAAGCCCTAGCGCTGCAGCACACACCCTCTCCTGCAATTTATTTAGAAGAGGGGACTGTCAATACATGATGTCACCATTCCAAAATCTCTGGTTAAATCAGGGTGTAATTAAAGATGGTTTGTTTAAAATTGTGTAATGCGAAGAGTGGCTTTTAATAATTGGTATGATAATATTAAAATAACATTGGTCTTAGAGTAATGTTATACGTATAGCCTGTAGCACTCAATAATATACCTTTACAGTAATGAAAGAATTTTTTAAAGCGGATATTACCCCGAACAAGCAAACATACAAGCATTACCTCTTTATAATATTAGTATATAGATAATTATAGTTAGAGATTACCTGTTGTGGGGGGAAAGGGGATTTTGAGTAATGTGGACTGATATCCTCATTGCAAGCAATGTATCATATTCTCCACGCGGTTCCCCCTGAAAACCATCGTGATAAATGCCTGATAAAATTGTCACGACAGGTTGACTGACCTGACCTCATATTCATCTTATCATACTCCACTGATGCCTCACCAGTGTAAACCATTAGCGCAGGCGAACGCATAATCCAAACTCATTTATAAAAAAAAACCAACCTGTTGTATTGTTATTGAAGACACAAGAATCATACAGCTGCTTGGCGGTGACTTTTCCATTCCCACCACATATGCCTTCTCCCTTCCCTTTACCACGCTGCTTCCTTTCCACTTCTAACAGCTTTTCGATCTCTTCTATCTCTATCTGCTGTATTGAACCATTCTGTTTTTGTTTGTCATCATCATCATCGTCTTCAGCTTCGACTGTCGCGAAGAGTTTCTCCACCACTATGAAGACCAACATTCCGAATAAACACCAGAGGCCGCATTTCATGGACACATGTTCGCCGTCTGTAATACAAAAGTGTTGATGTATATCTATTTATATACAAGAGCTCCTCACATAAATTATAATAATAAATTTAAGCATTTTATTATAAAAAATACTACATGTATTTTTGCCATCCATGTTCGTGAGGAGAAATAAATAAATAATATCATTATTATTATTATGCCAAGTGTAATGGCAAACCCAGGATTTCCTAATGATGGTCCAGGATAATGAACCAACCTAGGATGGCTCATCCGAGGTTAGCGTTATTTAATAATGCATGGGATTTCATGCATACTTAAACAACGCTATGCACATTTTATTCGGACTACTCTAAAGCTGTTGGCTGCAGCTGGCCAATTTACACTCAGCCTGAGTGGGCAGGGAAGTGAGCAGCGCGAGAGTGTAAACACCATGCCAATGGCGCTAACACTCGCGCAAGTGGCAGTGTGTGTTTACATTCAGCTCTCTCGCTCAGTTGTCGCCCGGCAATATTTCCGGCAGCGCGAGTGGCAGGGGAAGCGGCTGAATGTAAACGTAGCATAACAGCTTCACCGGACAATGAGGGGCGAGTGCAGATGGTACTCTAAACCCGCGGAAGGACCTATGGAGCGGCTCAAGACCAATCTGACGGGTACGACTTTAGTCTGAAGGCTAGGGGTTCGATTCTCGGTCTAAGCCGTCGTAATTTCGATCCCCGTTTGAATTGGACGGAAGTATGAGAGACATTTGTATTACAGATTTATAGAGCACCGTTGGTAATCTATAAGCCTACAAAATCATAGCTTAAAATTGCACTGTCATGAGATAGAGCTATGAATAGATGATCTATTGATACATTTATCTAAATCCAATATTCAAGCATTTGTTCCAATCAATAACCGCAAACAAAGAAATTGCAACTGTTTACAAACATTACATACCTACAATATTTACCGGTTCATTGTCATGACTATGTATATAGTAGCGATGTTTTCCTCGTAGTGGCGTTGAGGTTTTGTGTCATTGATAATTAATATATAATGTGAACTTTATTGAGTGGTAATAAAGTCGTCGATCATAGTTATCTAATAAGTAAAGTTTTGTGTTCCAAGTGATAGTGATTAATAAATTAGGTGTCGAGGCGCCGCGTCGTACGAGGGCCGACTCATAATGTATGTAAACATAATTTTATAACAGTTACAATGTTGCGTCCGATAAAATAACGATTACTAGTAAAAAGTATGAATATAATTGATAACTTTTTAACAACTCATGCTATCTGTCTGAAAAACATAAGTACATTTCGTTTTGAGAGGCTGTTACATTATTTAAGTACATTGAAATATAAAGTTGTATATGTCGCTGATCATATTATTATGTAACATGGCGAATTCTGAAAAAGGGCGAGCACAAAAGATTTATGTAGGTCGCAGTTCTGCAGGTCCAAGCACCTGACAATATCCTAAACTGTCCAATAATAAAATAATAATCTGACAGAGATGCTAGAGCCTTCGAATCTCGTCTCAGGGCGGCCGTAATCTCGATTTCTATTTAAATTCCACAAGTCTTCCACATATTCTTTTACTCAAGACTCAAATTCCACAAGTCTTCCACATATTCTTTTACTCAAGACTCAAGGAGCAGTTGAAAGCCAACTCTAGCTCTCATTTTATACAAGTTACTTAGAGATATCGTCCTCGCTCACTCACACACACTCTAATAATTTAAGATTTTTTTTTATTGTTACTTTCAATTTGAGTCTGTAGTCTGTACTTATAATTTGATTGTCATATCAATAAATATTTATTCATACATGAATAGTATATGTCTCTATATTTATATATGTATTACTTGTTATAGAAATTTAAATATATATATTTTGCTTTGTATATTTTCTTGCCAAGTCTCATAAATATTAGCGCACCGCCAACAATCTTTGTCTGCACCACTCATTGTTGACTGGTAGATAACGCCGCAAGGTGTTAAAGTCCGCAAAATGTGTGTAAAATGAAATATTTGTAACTGTGACGTGGTCTAGTGGAAAGAGTAGTCATGCTCACTAAAATGTCCAGACATGCGGCGGCGTGGTGGGCCGGGGCATTGGGCTCCCTAAAAAATGGTCGAGCGCAGTGATAGCTGGCTCATCCGTCATACTCGTGAACGAGGGACTGGTCTGCTCTTATCACTACGACTGATTTAATCTTATAGCATATTTATATTTGACCCAAAAAAATTTGTGCTGGTTGGTAGTTTGTATTCACACGTTTCAACTTGTAAATGTAAACTTACAAGTATTATAAAGAGCAACACACAAGTTTCTTGCTTGTTCTTCTTGTGATGAGACAGCTTTCCGAACGAGTGGTAGATAAAAATAAATTCAAAGGTGCTTAAATTAAGTTTATTTGAATAAATGTTTTTCTATTCTATTCTATATTTGTAGAAGAATTTGTTAATATTCTAATTCAATCAATTAATGGATAAAGTTATTGGCAAACCAACTCAACCTTACCTGGTGTTGACTTCAAGTCATTCTCCCATGCCTCAGGCAAGAGATGCAGGAAAACGTCTCCAAGTAGCCCACCCACGGCAAAACTCAGCAGTATCCGTAAAGTTGCAGCACCAGCTGAAACAAAGACATAATAGTTTTTTAATGATATACAAATTGCAAACAAGCTTACGGCTGACCAGATGGACAGTGGTAACCGTCGCATTGTCTATACATTGTATTTTAAAGTATTTGTAACACAATGTAACGGTGAATTAATTATTAATTAGTCAAATTAAAAACTTAAAATGGATACTTCATCTTCGCTGGCATATTTCTAATGAATTGTGTTGATATAGTGACAAAATTTGTATGGTAAGTTAAACCTGTTGTATGAATTGTGTATATTTATTGAAAATTAATTTAATTTTAATATACACATATGCATTTTTATAACGATGTACGTATTTTAAAAAATAGTGAGGATACTCTAGGGTACCGCTTTTCTTGTCAGTTTAGGCTCTAACTTCCAGATCTATAACTAACTCTATAATCCCAACTGTCGGTAGATTTAACTTTTCATAAGTATCTGTAATAGATCTACGACTTCATTCATAAGATATTTTTATTTAATTTCATATAGTTGCAGTACACAGCAAGTTCAGACAGAAGATTCTTAGTTTTTATAATGTTCTCAGATAAAATCATTGTGGTAGAGTCAGTAGCTTAATTATGTTACGCAGTGGCCAGGTTTCCGTACTGAATATTCGTGAGTATTCACATGCTAATCGAATTAAACAAAATAATATTAATGTATTAAATCATTAAATATGTAACAATTGAAAATCATTCGCAACTTGTTTGGAAAATAATGCAAGAGGTAATTTTTATATATAAAAATTAAGTGTCACGTTATTTGTCCGTGATGGACTCCTAAACTATAGAACCGATTGCTCATTTAATTTGCACATTGTGTGCAAGTGGATCCAACTTGAAAGATATGATAACTGACATCTCAATTTATAGTCGCAATCTTATTCAAGAACCTTAGCCACAGCAACGCGTGGCCGGGTCTGATAGTAGAAGTATATAATCTAGTATAAAACAACTGTTTAAACTACTTACTACTTGAACTAAACCATCGATCTCACGTAAAACGCAGCTGCAGCTCATCTATTGTTAGCTGTAATTCTTGTCCATTTTTTTTTTCTTTATATAAGGTAAACTACTGGAAAATATTTCACCTTAACTAGTTAAGCAATAGATAACTTTATTGCAGGTGCAGCAGTTCTCTACTTATGGCCCAGGAATCGACGAATCAATGTAAGTTAAAAAAAAAAAATACCCTCTTTTATTGTCTCTTAAAACTTTAAACGCTGTCAAAACTATGTTTTCACACCTTGAAAAATATATCTATATACGATCTGTGATTGGGAATATCTAATCTGAACACTATTTAAAAAAAAAGAAATAAACATTTATTTATTTTTTCCTTCGTCCAATACCTAGTTTATTGTCTTTACTAAAAATATTTTTTATTTTTATCAGATGAAGTTCTTATGCCGGAAAATGATATTTTTTTTGACAATTTTGCGTGTATCTTTTAAATAAAAAAAAAAATTCATTAAAATATTTCATTTTTTATATGTAAAAAAAATTATTGAAAAAAGGCCGTTTTTTGCCCGAGGAAACCCATGTAACCCCTTAAACTACTTACTACTTGAACTAAACCATCAAAGTTTTTGAATACGACCCCATTTTTTTCTTGGTATCCTGGGATGGACTTACAAAGATGACTTTCTACTGCGCTAATTGAACGACAACTCCTGTCTGACGGCTACAAGGCTTCTGAGGGCACCGCTAACCCCGTTCTGGCGCAAATGTATGTTCTCGATTTACCAGCATAAAATCAGGATATCGGCCCCCCCTAAAAGGCTGAAGTTTGGGGCCTCGGAGCAAGCCCCTTTGCGGCATTGACTCTGGGGGGCAACAAACCCCGGGGGACTGGATTGAAGCCCTTTTATTTGGGCAGGAAATATATAACAAAATATTTAGGGTACTGGGATCATATATACAGTGTTATACAGCTAAACCTAGCTAACTTAGGGACTAGTGCCATATGGTGGTTGGTGGTTTTTTGGGTTTATTTTTATTTTGCGACTACATTAGTAGAGGAGAAAAGATAAAAGGTGGTAGGGGGCGCTAGAATAGAATAGCAAAAAAGAATCCTGTATATACGGCTTTTAAAAGCTTGAGTCCTTGATGACTCGTAGAAACATGACATCATATAATGTATAATACAAGTGATACTTACATAATATTTTTATCAGGGCTTATTATTTAATTGGTACTTGTGATTTGTTATTGATAACATCGATTGCTTTAATCTATATAGGATTATGAAATGTTGATTCATAGCTATGTACAACATTACAATTTTTAAAATAATATTTCAGGACAATTCACACGCTGTCTACTCCCAAGTTAAGCAGAGCCTGTGTTATGAGTTTTGGTTAATTGATACAAATAAACAGATAATTCTTGTAGAAATGTAAAGAAGAAAGACTGGTATACGGCCCATCTGATATACAATCTGGGGGTAAGGTGATTGTTGTTGTTAGTAATTTGGACTAATAATCCCATTGCTAGCTATTGACCTCCACGTGGTTTCCCCTGGAAACAGAATCGTGATAAATTTATGGTGAATTTACCACGATGGGCTAACTGACCTGACCTCATGTTCATATTATCGTGCTCCTCGGTGACTCGCCATTGTAAACCGTTAGCGCACCCAATACATTATTATCCATAAGATTATGCTATTCGATATGTGTACATACTAGTATACTTTAGCAAGCTATAACGCACCAGTTCTTATTTATGTTTTACTATTGTACAAGTCTGTTTATATAAAGAATAGTGATTACATTTAGTTAATTATAAATAAATAAAAAAAAAAAACTTATGATTATATGACATACTCGTAGCAAGAATAATTAATTAGTGATAAAATTAATTACGAAAACATATTGCGCCGAAATCTGAAACACGTGGCCCAATTATCTGTTGTCTGATTGGTTAATAAAAAAATAAAAACATTGGCTCAGTTTAATTATATTTACACTATCTGACCCGCGCAACTCCGTCTGCATCACACTAACTTGACATTTATCATTATATTTCGCCTTGTTATTCTTATGGAAAAGCTATATTACTGTAAAGTTTCATCAAAATCCGTTCAGTAGTTCTCGCGTGAATGAGTAACAAAAATTCATCGATACTCGCAAACTTTCGAGGCAAAATAAAAACTAAACTATGGACGGTCGACTTCTGTCGTGCATAACTTAGGCCTAATTATTTTTTATATGAACCTGTGTAATATTTTTTTAAAGAAATCATATAAACAAGTTATTGTTTGTATACTATTTTTAATAATTTCTCATCATGTACCTGAATATAATACTACCTGAATTAAAGGAAACCAATTTTTGTGACTTTTTTCATAAACTTTTGCAGATTGTAATATGGGTTTTATTTTCGTTTAGTTCTTATAAGGGTGCTGCCACCAGAAGTAGGCTAAAAATGTTATTGCGTGAGTACCTCAGTGACACCTATCAGCCAAGCAGCTTGCTTTGTAAGCTGTTTCTTTTGTAGGTTACAAATTAGGCAGTGAGTTTACAGGATGACATCTTAGTCTTCTGGAATATCAACGCATCTCCGGTGTCACATGATAACGTGATGTCCGCATAACATAATGTAGGCCGTCAGTTTGTTTGTCATTTCAAGACAAAAACATCGTTAATTGCTGTGGATTATACATCTGCATGTAGCGACGTTGTTAAGTTGCATTCTTTGTTAGATTCTAAGAGAGTTGGTGTAATCGGTCATCACAGAAAGACAAGGTCAGGAAGTTCATATTTTATCTAAAAAAAGACATTATCAGTAACGCCGTTAGCTCACGTATATGTAGATAAAAGACATGCCGACATGTCCGATAGGGTGTTCAGAGAAATTGGACATATTTTTATGTGTATTTGTAGCATTTTAATCCGGTTAGTAACTAGTGTTTAACAATGAATTATACTTTGTAATATCTTTATCAGTCATAATTCAATCGCCTGCTGAAACTGAGGCAAATATTGAGGTAATTAGTTTTAGCTTGCAATGGGGCGGGTATATTCTTTGTACAATAGACTATTTGTACAATAGTCTTAGTCTTAGAAATTTTAAAAAAGCACTTCTATTGATACATTATAATATACCCATAAGTGGCCTGTATTCCACAGTTGGAATATCATTCCAAATGTTGAATACAGGAATACAGAATTATTTTAGTCTATGATCTATTTTATAAGCTTTATATTTCAAATACCAAATTTATTCTAAATTATCTCTGATTTCTATTGTTCCTTTCGGTTTCCCTTCCTGGCCCTAGTTAGTAGTGTTTCTTTGTAATATATTATTATATACAATATAATATATATCTTACAATTCCCTGGTTTCCTTTGGGATTCCAATAGGACTATCAGTCCATATTACTAAAAATTGCCAGGTTGACTTCCACCTGGTCCGCCCTGCAAACCATCATGATAAATTAATTAAAACTGATTTGACCACAATCCAGTGCCATTCTGTTAAAATTTAATATAGTGTAAAAACCTATAAGCACTGTATGCCACAAATAAATAATTTCTTGATTGATCTTAATCATTTGATCATTCGAATAATCCCCTTTCCGCTCCGCGTTGCGTCAGCCACTGTGCCAATTGTAAAGGGTTAAAAATTCTATATTTAGATATATTCTCATAAATAAATTAATATGAAACCTTGTATCTTTACAACCAGATGGGACCCAATGTAATATACTCCATTGTGCATCGAATCGTGAAATTGTCTATACTCGAACAGGCGTAAATGTGCGTGAAATGATTGCACTGTTATCAAATGTGGTAAGTGGGTGGTACAAAGCGTCTTCACACGGCCTTGAAATAGGAAGCGATATCGTAGTGGCGAACACTCTAGATGGCTTCCTAGTAGTTCCAGGGTAGCTTTTATGTAGACAAATTATTATATTAATACGTGATGCTTTTAGGAAAATTACGGGAACGAAGGAGTATAAAATTTAGCACCATCGAAGT